TGGTCTGCAGAAAAATTATTCGCATTTTTTATATTGCACTAAATCAGGGGTCCTCAAATTATGGCCCCTGGGATGGATACGTGCAATGAGCGCTTGTGTTGCTGCAGAGTGTCTCCCTATTTGGGGTCTTTTTGTGTGGATCAGAGGGGGGCAGAAATTCCGACTTGGGGTCTGCTTCAGCTTCCTGGTGCGGGGCTTTGGGCAAAGGCTAGAGGGAAGCTCCGCTGGTGGCGAAGAGCTAGAGGGCTTTGTTCCTGTAGGACTGCATCATGGCCTGGAACTGGCTGACCATCTCAGCCTGCTGAGCCTCCAGGTGTTGGTACCTGGCCTTGCACTCCTGCAGGTCTTCCCTCTGCTTGGAAAACCTATGCTTGTAGTCCTCAGTGAGGGACTTTTACTGAGCCTCCTTCTCAGTCAGATCCAATTTGAACTGAGCCAGCTTTTTTGACAACTTTCTCCTGGTGGATGCTTAGTTCCAGAAACTGCTTCCTCTTGGAGCCCTATGGAACCTGGGCAGGGAGGAGGGAGTGGCTGGGAGGGGAGGAGCAAGTAGAGACTGGCGAGGCGCCCCTCAATGTGAGTGACATCGAGTTGGCCATACTCACCCATGACCACCTAGCCACGCCCACCCAGCTGGTCATTAGCCAGGTCATATTAGTGGTCCACGGGATTTAAAGCTTTTTGGTCAGATACCGGAAGCGAACACCAGACTGGCAAAAACAACATCACAAATCATGTGACTACAGGATGCCACAAATGGCTGAAGGGGTGGGCCTTTTGCTGATGCCCAAATACAGTCAGACGATCATGGAGGGAGGAGGTGTGGTTGTCGGAAATCCAAACCCAGGTTGTAACTAGCCCTGGGGAGGTCCATCGTAAGTTCGAGGACTACCTAAATTCCTCTCAGCCGTACTCCTGGAGGTAACAGGGCCAACATTAATTTTGCTTTCATTATCCTTATTTACAGAGTGGAAAATGCTTGCACAAAACTTGTCCAGGCAGCTCAGATGCTCCAAACGGATCCTTATTCGGTACCTGCTCGTGATTACCTGATCGATGGATCCCGAGGAATCCTTTCAGGGACGTCGGATTTACTTCTGACCTTTGATGAAGCCGAGGTGAGATTTCTAATAACTGCAATATAATGCATCGGTGGGTTGGAAGCAGGGGTTCAGGTCAGACAGGTTTGCTGGCCAATCAAGCACAGTAATCCAACAGTCATTGAACCAGGTTTTGGTGCTTTTGGCAGTGTGGGCGGCTGGAAAATGAAGTCAGCATCNGGATAGTTCTAGATAAAATCAAAGTCCACTTCTTGGCGTCAGGTGTAATAACATCTTCTTAGGATTTATGAGAGAAGCAGTAGATTCAGAGTCCAGGATCTCATTTACACTGGACCTGTGATTTATTCCATTTTATTGAGTGTTTTTAGGCCACAATTTTAACCTTTCTTTCTTCTGTCCATCCACTGTTGGCATTCTCTCTCTAACACATCAGTTTCTTCTATAGATAGGATGGAGGAGACAGTGGTAATATTTCATCCATTCTTTTTTCCTACCTTTGTCCTTGGCGTGACTTGGATTTCATTTCATGGCATGCCTGTAATTTAATGGCACCTTTAATTAACTTCATGCATCAGTTCTGATTATAATGTATTCCTCCTCTGAGATCTTGATGGTGCATTATTAATCACTTTCATGACAATTGAATTGCTATCATTGATAATACCAAATGCTAATCTTTTGTTGAAAAGAATCATTGCTAACAGTTTTCTTTGTAAAGCATGCTTAATTCTCTTTGGAATTAAGCCTTCTGTCTGACTAAATTGCTGGAAAGGCATTCAATCAGGGTCCACTTTTGTGATTTTTTATTTGAAAAATTCTTTACCATAATCAGAATTCTCTGTTGACTACAATGCACCATGATTAGATACAAGCTTTCATTTGAAATTCTGAATTTATAGCTGAAAATGAGTGAGACTAATGTATGCTGAAATATTTACAAGGAATTTCATTTTTCCATTTGGGGCCAAGGGCCTGAAAAGTATCCCTGGCTTTAGAAGATGGTGGTTCAACATCTTGAAGCCTCATTATGAGGCTGCATTGTCATAGTCTGGAGAAAGAGCCAGCTGGTCTGCCTGCTGGCCCTCACCACTGGTCCAAGGCATCCATCGAGATGTACCATTTGACATGTCTGCATGAGCTGAAGAATAGGGAGGGGAAATGGAGATAGAGGGGGTTCTGTAGGCAAAACAAAATATTTTCTATTGGGAACCAAGGACATTCTCACACCTGGTTGGAGGAAGGCGGCTACTCAGCTGCCAATCCGCACTGTGACTGATTGTTTTGACAAAGTAGAAAAACTTTTAATTAGGTGAAAACCATGGGCGACTTCAGAGTCATTTTTCACCAGATACGTGCCAATATGATGTTTCCAATAAAGCTATTCTTTGATGAATCTACCTGCCTCGGAGTTTTGCTTGCTATGGGTCGATTACTTGTAAAACCCTGACAATCGCCTTCAATTCTGTGAACCTCAGAGAAGGATGTGATCCATGAGAGATCTTGCAAAGGTGCGATTGGATGCAAAGCCCTGGTAGCTTCTTGTTCCATGTGGCCACCAGGCTTTCCGATGGTCCATGCAGCAGACTGGCAGGAACAATCAACCAAGGTCCAGCGGTTTCTGAGGCTGGACCAATGTAACAGGTCTGCAGTAGATTGAGAGTGGCTGAAGTTCTGTATTTTTTTTGAAGGGGGGGGAATTGGAAAGGATACAGATTCTTTTGGCACAAATTGCTTTAAGGGGTATTTATAAGAACCGTGGCTCATCTTTAAAGTAAGCCAAGTGAATCTAATATTTTGCTAAATTTGGCTTGCAAATATGATGTTGCTTTCCCATCTATGTTACATCTTAGCCTGCACATTGAGCACTCCGCTGTTAGTAAAGGTCATCTGTCCAGAATATCTGTTCTGTTCGCTATATCCATAGATTTATAATCGGGTTGGCCCTGGCTCTAACAAAACATGGTCCTTGGCTTTATTCCTCTGAATTTTCTCTAGCATTGCAATGGTGCATCTGTTGCCTATCAAAATGCTCAGATTAGGGTGGCAGGAATTGGATTATGTTTGGATCATTGCCTGTGAAAATTAGCTGTGAATAAATAGAGTTTAATGATATCACAGGCATTCTTTAAATAGAAGCAGATGGATGATTTTTCATATTAGTTACCGTATTTTTCAGAGTATCAGATGCACCTCTTTCCCCCAAAAAAGAGGGTGAAAATCTGGGTGTGCCTTATACACTGATTACAGCATTTTTGGCCTCCCAAAACCTTGCCCCCTTCACAAAAATGGACGTGCAGAGGATTTGAGAGGCCTGCAAAGTGCTCCTGGGGGCTAGGGAGGGCAAAAACGAATGAAAAATGAGTCATTTTTTGTTCATTTTTGCCCCCCCCCAGCCCCCAGGAGCACTTTGTAGGCATCTTAAACTCTCTGCATGCCCCATTTTTCATACAAAATTAGGCGTGCAGAGGGTTTGGGAGGCCTGCAGAGCGCAAAAACTTTTTTAAAAATTTACCTCTTCAAAATCTTGGTGCATCTTATACGCCGGTGAGTCTTATACTCCGAAAAATATGGTAGTTAGAATTTTTTTTCAAGCAAGCATTTGTTGGCTTAAGATGACTAACAATCATGGTTAACACACAGGCAAGCACACACACACACACACACACTCTCTCCTCCCCCCCTCTCTTTAACACACACAATTCCAGCAATAACAAATTCCAAACTTGTATGAGTCAAACTGCTGACAATGTTCTGTGCAAGGATTCAGCCCAAATAAGGCAGGAGATAAGTGTTCTTTCTAAAACACCAGGTGGGGAAAATGCTGTGAGGAATGTAATGTTTTCAAACTTAAATGAAGCAGCAGATGATTTTGAAGACATTGAAGCCTATTTGCAAGGAGTGCCTCTTGTGTTTTCTGTCCTGCCTCAAATCTCAGTGTGACAATCAGAGCACTGAAGGTTGATCAAACCACTCTGAAGGGAATCCTCCATTTATTGCCATATTTGGGACCAGAATCTTGGTTGTTAAGAGAAGCAACAACTAAAGGAGATACTCGTGGAACTGCTTCACTCAACAATTGTTATCCGGGCACCCCCAGTTGCAGTCGTTAAGCAATCTCTTGGGTGGTTAAGTGGACGAAGTGAAGAGCTGCCTGATGGGTTTAGTGGTTCTTCTCTGTGCACAGAAAGGAACGCCTCTGAAAGGCTGCAGGATCTGAGTAATCTTTC